TTTGTTTCTTTTTGTTTTGTTTCATTCGCGACAGTTTAAAAGAGATTATATTCGTCCGCGGCGCATCAGACGTTTCTTTCGTTTCGTGTAATGGCCGCTCATTACTCCTCGAAATTGCGGCAGATTGACGGTTATAATATCGTAATGTCATTCCTTCAATAACGTTGAACTATAGGTACATTCCGTCGAAAGAAATCACAATTTACTAAACATATGTCAGCCGGAGCAAATAATAATAGCAATCATTGGGACCAATAAACTTTCACAACGCTTCGAACGTCATCAATCTGCACGTGTAACATGGATTTTCTCTCGTCCGTTGAACTTGCGGTCGGTTCAGTAATATTTTCCATTTTTCCGCAATAAACTATCGATACAGAACATGCGTCGTAAAGCGTATTAACAGTAATTTTAAAATCGGTACAATAAACTAACGTGGAAGCATAACAGATCAGAAATAAGATAGCATAATTCCTCGAACCAGAAAATATAAATATTAAATTTTGTCACATGAATAATTCAACTAGATAAATATCGATGCAAATGCACGAGGTACCTTGTCACTGTTGTATTAATCAGGGACGAATAAAAATCTTCGATGAAAGCATCGATTAACATGTAAACCGAGCAGATACTAATCACGGTGGATCCTTGATAAGTAATTAATTCGCGTTCCCGCCGCATAAAAACCAGGAAAATAATATCTGTATCTCGTCTAATCGTGTTGTTCCCGGCATTCCTATTCTGGATCGCGATCGCGTGCAAGGGAACCCGTTTTCTCGTACGCGAGATCGATCGATGGATCCAAGATATCCGTGACGGGCGTCGGTGAAAAGCAGGAAATGGAAGGCGAAAGAGAAAATGAATAATAGGAAAGGTCGAGAAACCTTTCGTATAAATCGCTTGCGAAATCGGGGCGACTCGGCAGGCAACTGATTTTTCAGTTACAATTTACACGGCAAAATGTGATTCCGATCGAAACACGGAAAGCGGATGGGCTGCGTCAACAAAAAATGAAATCTCGCGACGCCGAAACGAAACGAAACGGAACGGCGCGGCCACGTTTCTCTCTTTTCCCTCGAAAGCGAACAATTATTTGTTTACTCCTGAAATATAATTGTCCGGGTGACACTTATCGCGTGGCTACCGGTCTACACGCGAATCGCGAAGTATAATTAATCATTTTATAATTGGTACCCTCCTGGGAAAAAAGCGGACGATTTCCTTCGCCGGTGTCTCCGCTTTTCCTGTGCGAGCGACGCGAATTTTGCTACTTTCAGTGTGCTGGACACGTTTTAATTAAGAAAGGATTCGTTTGCGTTTAAGTGCCTTAGGGAAAATGTGAATTATATTGCTGGAATATTTTATTGTTCAATTTTAAAATCGATAGAAGCAACAGAATATTTACGATTCGATTAAATGGAATTTAAAATTTTTTAAAAGCTTCAAAGGAGATTATGTTTTTGAATATAATTAAGAAAAGAATGTTTACGCAATGGTAAATTAGTTAGTAATATTAAATGAATGAAATTATTGAAACTTGCAGTAAGAATTTGGTTCGAGAGACTCTGCCGAAGCTAACAAAAATTGAATTTAATCGCAGGTCGATCAGAAGCCGCTGCACAAGTCGAACCACCACGAGAACCACGTATCCCAGATCACGAAATCGATCCAGTCGCAGGCGAATCACGGTTCTTTGAATCACGTCCAGTCCCACGGTCAGTCTAATCACGTTATCTCGAATCACGAGAACCACGTGCCGGCGAGTCGTGTGCCGAACCACGTGTCGGCGGCGAACCAGACGAACCACCAGAAAAACCAGCAGAACCAGCGGCTCAGCCCGAATCAGGAATGGCGGCAACCGGAAGACAACGGCAGGCTGCAAGAAGATGGCATCTACGAGAGCGGACCGGTGGTGAACGACGGAAAACACTCTCTTTTGCAGTACGCCATGCTGAATTTCAGACAGAGCACGGAGAAGTTAGTATTCTATTCAATTTTCAACTATCTTAGCTTCCTATTAACCTTTGGCGGATGAAGATTCTTTGAAATATACAAAATATTCAGCAGATGAAGCTAAATTATGTATCAATCACTTAAATGATAGGAAAAACTACGTGCTGATCTCTTGGTGCTTGAGTAATTAAATTACTTGTTTATGACTTAATCTTCGAAATGTGAAAACTTCATCTCGAAATGTCAACATTCGTCAGCAAAGGGTTAAATCTGTATCATTTACAATGCGAAATATTTCTAGAGAAACTAGCTACCACGACAAGAAAAGAAATATTTTAAAGTTCAAAGGGTAAAATATATAATTCGCTAAGTTGAAATACTATGACCCTAAAGAAAAATTATCTCGTATATTGAACTCATATTTGTTTATAATATTTCGTTATATTAGAATCGGTGATTGCTAAATTTAAGTCACTCAGATAGAAAATATAAGCGTACTTTACGGGCACGCGTTACTCAATCGAAACTCATAAACATAACATGGAAGTTACATGGCCGGTTCATTCAACAACTTTTCATTGATCATACGATGCGCAGTCGTACGCTCATAAATATCAGCTGACGTTCTTTTAATTCGGAACTTCCTTCGAATGTTACACGCTGCACGCTCTAGTTTCGGATCAGCGAGTAAGTACATAGAGATGATATTAAATCGAGACGTGAGACTTGTTTCGCGGCACTGTTACCAAAGAAAAACACCTACGCCGAACCCAGACACAGAAATAAAAGGGAAATTAATGTTAAAGACTAATTGGCCTTCTCTTACGCAAGAAACGCGAGACAGCCGTGTTGAGAAAGCATAACGCACTGGCGGTTCTCATAGTTGCATCGACCATCTTAGCGAACGCTCGGCTAACCAGTACTCCTCGTCTTCTTTGGGCATCTTTCCGCGAGCCGCGAGTTACCGTTCCGAAGTTTTGCACCGTTCCACGCCGCGGCTGCTCGGAATCGATTTATCGGAACGGAATCCGTTCGAGGAATCGAAAAAATTTCACGTTTTGTGCCACGTTTTTCGCGCCGCATCGAAAGAACGCGTCGATCTCTCGAACGAACGCGGCGGTTCCGTAATAATTCGTGAAAGTGCATGGAACCTCGCATCATCGGTAACCAGAAACTTTCCGTAAGAACGTGTATTATTCACTGACATCGACGCCGTTAATTCATCATAACTTTTCGATTTGATATGCCGTCGGAATAAGGGAACTTTGGCATTTTTTTGTTTGTTTCAGGGAAAAATCCTTTCTCCTCCGTTCGATTTTATTTCTGACGATAATAAATCATTCATTATATAGACGTAAAATTATAAAGTTGTAAAGGATTGAATATTATTCCCCAGATGTATTTTACGACGGTCGTAAAGTCGCGCAGAGAAAATTAAGATTAATGTATCTTTCCTGTGACACGCTCGTGAAAATTGTCTGAATGCAGGCACCGCTCCGGTGATTTCAATGCACGGTAAAGTAATATCGCCGGCTCGCGCTCGCGCAGTGCCATTACCTTCGCGGCTCAGCATGCACGTTAAACTTGGAAAGTTCTGTTCTACTTTAAGGATCTGGAGTTCTAGCACATTTATATATTTATTTAAACCGTCGAATAATATCCCGCATATAATAAATAATTAAAATTCCTAGAAGCGTAACACGCAACATACTATTTAACGTTGTACATTTCCAAAACGGTACACTGCAATTATAAAATATTTATTATTCAACGAAACAAAGAATAACACAAAGATCGATTTTAAAAAAGCATTAATTCGGGGAGATGAAAATATTTCAAGTATAGAATGCTTGTTTTCCATATAGAAGCACAAAAATAGATTTCAACTATATACGGTAGCGAGCGGAATTTAAGACGAGCCACGGCAAAAACAATAACGAACGAGGAGAATGTAGATAGTTGGCTCGAAGAAGGATCATTAAAACACCTAACTAGAGTACCGATTTCCTAAACATGACTTTGACAAGTGACGACCACCCATCCAGTACTCTGGAACGGGACTTTTTCCCGGCGGGTAACAACGTCCAGCAATGGAAAATCCGTTTACGGGCCGGTGCACCTCCGGCAAGACGTTTTCCATTTTGGAAGGCTATTACCCGCGTCGCCTCCGAGTACCGTTCCTTCATTAAATTGATCCGAAGCCACCGTTCTTGCTCTCTCTCTCTCGGAACGGAACGACGGTTCCGAAGATAAACACCCGGCTGAGAAAAGTTCCTGAGCGAATGAAACTCTCATTTGTGTATTCCGGCCGACAGATTCGAGATGTTAAAGACGGCGGATGGCTCCATAAGCGGCTCCCTGAAAGTCATCGAGTCGCTCAAGAGCAAGAAGAAGAACAAGAAGAGTAAAGGTCAACAAGACGGCGCGGAATGGACCTGGAAGGAACAGGTGGACCTCGTCAAGTACTCGCCTGTGCCGATCGAGCAGAGCCTGCTCAGGCTGGACGCTGATTTGAGCGGGCTCGCGGTCGAATGTTTCCTTTGCCTAATGAGGTACATGGGCGACCAGCCTCTGCCTCCGGACACCAGCGAAGTCAAGTGTGTTTACACTATTCTGATGGTGAGTATCATTTTTTTGTTCGATAATAGATACATCGCCGATGTTGACGCGTACGCGTCGATTTGTGGAGATTCGTTTGAACAGATACAGATTGAGTAAAGATTCTCAGAGATTAATTCTCTGTTGAGGATTGTAACTTTGAGTTATTGATTAGGGTATTTGAGATATTGGATTAAAGTGATTACTTTTAGTCTCGATCGTTTCATTTAGATCTGTCGAGACTTTCAATAAATTTCTTGATCGTAAAAAGATATCGTTAGGTGTAATCGACGCGTAGAAAGCGTCGCGTTTGTGCTCACCTTCAGAAAAAAGTTAGTCTAATGGGACTTATCGAAGAAGTTTCTATATAGGACAGCGAAGAGTAGATCAGTGTACGGTAATAAACTGTATGTGGTAACAGAGGTCTCCGATTTCCCTTGAATTATCTCATCAGACCCCATTTTCTCTAAAGAAAGTATGTACACCGATCAGGTCCTAAATGATGCATGGAGATCGTCTTAACCGAGTCGAAGTTCTTTTCACTGGCACAAAAAGGAGATTCAGTTAGTTCCATCGGATTTTCTTTGCGCGAATTAATCGTGCAACTCGAAAGGAACGGCGTTTTAAATGTAATTTGAAGGATAGCTGTTTCTAGATCAAGATAAATCGAAGTTATAGGAAGTTCCGCAAGATCAAGGTTCCCATTTTACCATTTCTACTTCCTTATTTCTCCCGAAACAATCATTCAACCTGCTCACTGGAAAACCAACGTCCTAACGTTCGCAATTACTGGCGAGGCGTTAATCTCCCGAACAATTACCGAGAGTGAAACCAGCTTTCACTTCTTCTCGTTGATGAACCCGCGAGCAATCAAAGCGGTTACTTGACACCAAGGGACACCATTCTCACCGTGTGACCAGCGACAGAAACCATAACACTGAACCCCGGAATTATATCAATATTCCTCAGTTACGCCTCATAAACCGTTCAAGTAATACAAATGAATCAACGAGCACACAAACGACGAAACCAAATCTTTTAACATCAAATTACAAACGATCTGTATATTCTGAATTCTATTAAAAATTCCATACTTTGATTGTCAAACATTTCATCCGACCAACTTGAAATTTTTCACTGTATCGTCTATCGAACTAGCAGTGACTTCAAATTGTTTCAAGCAATTTCAATATTTTAATTGATTCTAAATTCTTTACTCGACTTGAAACCGTTGAACCGTTAAATTACAGCACTGCCACAAGTACGAGCAACTCCGTGACGAAGTCTACTGTCAGCTGATGAAGCAGACGACGAACAACAAGAGCCCGAACCCGGACAGTTGTCAGCGTGGCTGGAGGATCTTCAGCATCGTCGCTGCCTATTTCACTTGCAGCGACGGTTTAAGGCCCTACCTCACCAAGTACCTCGAAACAGCAGCGTACGACAAAAGAAGGGCCTATCACGGCACCGCCACGGTGTGCCTGCAGAATCTTAGGAAAACTGTCAAATACGGAGGAAGGAAGAATGTGCCGAGTGTCGATGAGATCATGGCGATCAGCGCTGGCAGAAATGCTAAGAGACAGATTTATAGACTGCCTGGTGGAACGGAGAGGGTTATCAATACGAAGTGTACGACGGTTGTGCAGGTGAGTTGATGTGTTCTTACGTTTAAACAATAAATTTGATATCTGTAGTCCACCTTCAATAGTAGCATTGTTTCAAATGTTAATTCTAATAGTTTGTTATTGAGTTTAACCCCTTGTCCTACGAGTTAGACTCGTGAAGATTTTCAACATGAGTCGACAAATATATGTATTACTCAGTTCATTCGAAGTAAAATTAAATATTCCTCTGTAATTAACTATTATACTTAAAAGGAGATATAGGCGTAACATATGCTTACAATTTTTCTCTTTTTCCAATAAATTATTAATGATAAAGTAGCCGTGTCGACTATAGTTGAGAAATGTGTCATAGGCCAAGGGGTTAAGGTTTCAAGTTTTGTCTAGTAAGATTATCGTAATCACAGATTGTAATTAATTAATCATTACTAATCATAGTGCTCATTTTTACTAGGACGTTATCGAAGAAATGTGTAATATAATATCCGTTAGACATCCCCACGAAATGGATGAATTCTCGTTGTACTGTATCGTCGACGGCGACGCGTTTACCATGCCCTTGGCTAGAGATGAATACGTGCTGGATGTGACTACTGAACTTCATAAGAATCATCAAGTGTTCTATTTAATATTCTGCAGGTAATTAATCACGCCCTAAGGTCAAATTTATTATTATAAGGTCTTGACAGCTTCTTGATAAAATCCTGTAACATAATAACTGAGTTTTATTTATTACGATAACTTTATACGAAACATTGCACAGGTCTGAAAGTAATAAAATTCTCTTTGAAAATCTAGATCCGTTTGGTACTACCCTCTCAGATTGGACGCACCATTGTACATAGAAGTTGTGTTCAACCAAATCGCTCCGGACTACTTGGAGGGTCTTCTCCTGGTTCTGCCTGGCGAGCATTTACCTCAAGAAGTTGTAGTAAGTGTCCATTAACAGTGGCAACGTTCACTGACACTCTCCAAATTAACAGGCATTCTGTAAATATTTCTCAAATCTACGTATCAAGTATATACCTCCTCCAAGATCCCTATACTAATGATCTTCATTGAACTATCGAGATTAACCAGTCACCTGTGTTTGACGAGTATACACGTCATCGTAAAGCTTGACACGATACTAATTCTTTCAGCGATGAATTCTTTATTTTTTCACATAAACATGTAATTCCTCTTTGTTTCGCTTTGATCTTTCATTAAGCCTTTGCACTCGAAACTTTTTCACTAGAAATTAATACATCATGCAAAGCTTGATATTATATGTAAGACTTTATAATTTTGCAAATTAAATCAAGTAGTGACTGAGAGTCACCTCTCGAGTGTAAAGGGTTAAAATATACTCTGCGTGCATTCGTCCTGCGTTCGACGAGTACACGCTCCATTTTTTGATTTTATTGCGCGCAGAACAAGAGGTTTCTCCAACTAAATTCCACAGTTAACTGGTTAACCCATTCGAGACGGCGATTTTTTTCGAACACGGTGCCCACGAGCGAAATTCTGTCACGGGGTTTTCCAATTAAGTTTTTTAAAATCTCTACACGATAGTCATAAAAACTCAATTTTCTTATTGTTGGTGAGCATGTTTATTTTGTTTTTCTATACTTTACAGATGCTATTAATTCAAAAAAAGACTTATCTCGACGACTACTTTACTCATAACTGATAAATGCTCATTATTATTATTGCACGCGCGGTCTGCAATCGGTCTCGAGTGGGTTAAGAGTGATCATTTTGATTTCCATTGCAGTACGACATGGCGCAGATAGCAGCCCTTCTGCACAGAGCAGCAGACATGACGCACGAGCCGACCACGAAGGAAATTAAATACTTACTGCCAAAGCCAGTGCTCAGTTTGAGGGAACCGCGGCCGCAACAATGGTCCAACATGGTTCAGCAAGCGTGGAACAATGTGCAACACAATACGGTTGCCGCGTGCAAGGCGCAGGTTCTCGGTGAGTAATTGGACCGAACTATTACGTAAGCTTTCGTGAAATTAGTTTCTTTTTCATTAACTGCTGGGAGCCGTGGAGATGTATGTTTGTAAAACGTCTGCGATCTAATTATCGACTAAGAAAATTAACGTAGAGAACGTAAAATTAATGTAGAGAAATCAGGAGAGAATTTCAAGATGAAACTTTGTACTTTCATGGAAGAATAAATGGTGAAAAGGATAATTTGTGGTCTCGTTCATGTCACAGAAATTTTATGGAAGTGGCCATTATTCGGATCCAGTTTCTTCGCCGTGAAAAGGGTACCCGAAGGAAAGGAAAAGGGCGGCGATCATATTTTGGCGCTGAATAGACATGGAGTGCATTTCATTGATCTAATCACACACGTAAGGAAACGGAACTAGTTTAATATACAGATTTAACTTTAAATCAATTTCTCTACTGAGATGAATGTTTATTTAATTTTTGCACGAGAGAAATCATTTTCTTTTATTTTTCATTCTTAACCGAATAGTTGTTTCTGAGAGCTAATATCCCTGCAACGGATAACATAAAGAAAATTAACCGTAAATTTATAGGAAACCTTGCATCACTACCCATATTCCGAGGTGATATCCACGCGCAAGGTGAAGTCCGAGGAAGGAACCCTGTATCTGGACATGAAATGCGGGAATCTGATGCAGCAACGCATCACCAGGCTCCAAACGGAGCAAGCCCACGAGATCTCGCGGCTAATTAGACAATACATCACTATGGAGCAAAGGGCAACCAATAATCAGGCCACCGGGATCGGTTTCGGGATGAGATAAGGCCCACGGATCCTCCCTTTCATCGATTAATCCATCGCGAAACGTTGTACATACCTATTTAAAGGGAAGAAAGTATAAAATACAATAAACTTACGTCCGAGGAGTCTGTAAACTAAGAAACATTAGACTAAACGTGGTTTAGTAACGTCTAGCAAAGTCCATGAACCAACAAAGCTAACAAACTTAGATCTTCGATCGTGTTTCCTGCTCCTAATCGATTCTCCAATGAAAATACGCGAGAAAACACCAACGTTTCTCACGTTGAACGCAGGAGAAGCACGGAAAGGGACATTCGAGTAAACAATCGGGCGTAAATACTTCTATTCGCGTCCAAAAATTCAATCGACCGCGAACATTCCCAAATTTCGCATCGTGTCCCGTTGTTATTTATTTATTAACGAAGAAGTGATTGTAAAAACGCGGTAGGGCTATTCGGTTAATCAGCAAGAGGACAGAGGGAAGTCTTTGGATTTGTAAATATGTTTAGAAAGTTTTCTAGCGTCAAAAAGAACGAAAGACCGCGAGGATCGGTGGATAGGAGGAGAAACCGAAACTTTCTTCGGAAAGTTCTTCGCGGATCGTCCCGTGCGCTTCCTTTTTTTCTTGTTGTCGGAATTCATTTTCATCGACGACGACGGACGATTTTGTGAAAACGACCGATTTGTGTCTCGATACGAAGATCGTTGCGTTCCCTTCGAACGCATCGAGTCCGATCAAGATTCACGGAGGATCGAAGTGTTATCGTAAAATAAGGACTTGATCTAGTTGCTGAAGAAGAAAGTTCTTCGTTGTGCAACGAGCCGATTCTCGTACGTGACACGTGGACATTGACGAATCGAAGGGAGAGACGAGGAAAAAGAACGAATGCTCAAGTATCTAAGCGATTACTCTCGGCTCTGTAAATACGCGTTTAGAAACGTTTTAGAAGAGGGAGGAGGATCGAGAGATCGAAGAAGAGAAATCGACGGTCCTGCGTTTGAAACTCGAATTTTCTGACAGTGTCCTCTTTTTTTTTATTGTTTTATTTTTCGATTTCATGTTCGTTGATGAGAGAAGAGCAGAGCGCGTTGATAGTCTCGATGAATGTTAACGTCTGCCGATCGATTTCTTTTTCTTCTCGATCGTGACGGCGAGCTTCCTCCGTTCCGACGGGGAGACGGCTGATTGCTTAATTATTACGTTGTTTTAAGAGTTAATTAATGGAGTCTCGGTGTAGAGTTGTTTTTTATTTATACGATACGTAAGAAAAAGAAACGATACGGTCACGATTTGCGAGATGATTTTATTCTTAATGTAAATCCGTTTGAAGACTAATCGTTTAACGAGTACGTTATGATGGAGACTAACAAGCTACGGTTACATGTTATCATAAGGAGACATTATTAATAATAATTGTACGTATTGCGTATCGATGTGAACGGAGGTGTTAAACTTTATATTAAAATTTCTACATATACGTATACCTGTCGAATTCGTGTTCCATTCTCTTATCCTCTGTTTTACAGGAAAATCCTTTCGAACGATTAATAGACGATTGTCTATATAAATCCATACATTCACAAAACATATTGCTAAACAGACAAATGTCGACAGGATATTATTAAGTACACGTTTATTGACAATCGAAGGCAGTGAGCGAAAATTCGATTAAATACAAACTCCACAATAAATATATTCAGCTTACCGCTAAGTATTCGGTGAAGGGAGATATCCCAGTCTTCAATAAAATGTAAAAAATTTCAATCAGGGATAAACTGACTTTCTCATCGAATGTACTTCTTCCGAAACAACTGGCGAACGTCCACATATAATGCCACAGAAAAATGAATTTATCACTAGACTCTGTACACCCGATTAACACCATTTCTACCGAAGGTGTCAAAGGACACCTGAAATTTTAACTTACAATCCTTTCCTCAGTTTAACAATTTTTCCCCAATTGAATTTTTGACATTTCCTATGATTAATGTTATAATCGTTATTGGTAAAGTCGAAGGTCAATTCAGAATGTACAACTAAGGTTGAAAAATAATTTTAAGCCGAAAATTCGACACCTCGGTAGAAATAGTGTTAACCTCTGATAAGTTACTTGCAGTAACCTATTGTAAAATAGAAAAAAAATTCTTCGCACAAGACTTTGCCAAATCTCTGAAGGTTAATTTTTCCCATGAACAGGACTGCCGCCAGGCGTTTTCATTTTAGTTTCCTGTGGCCAGTTGCTGGCAGTATGTCGAACGTAACCAGGATCGGTTGGCGACGACGGTGTCCTTGCTCCGGCCGTTTGAGTGCTGGCCGTTCGAAGAGAACCGAAACATTCCTCCAGCATTTCCATCTCGTCCTTTATTTTATTGTAAGCCTTCCCGTACCCCTTCGGTGGCGATGGGACATTAAAAGAAACGTCACGACTCTTCTTGTAATTCGGCGAAGCTCCTCGCATGCGAATCGGAACGTTGTCGTATTGACTGGTATCCGAGTATCTGTCGACAAAAAAGGAAAATAATATCAATCTGTACAGATTGTACAAGATGAGACTGAACCTGACGTTAGTAAACGGTTTGTTAATTATTAGTGAAACTAGACTTTCCATTTACTTGTAGACTTTCTATTACTCTAATGTTCATCAATCTTCTATTCGTGATTTCTGCAGAATGATGATGGCGATGAAGGCCTGCAGAAGCGTGCCTCGTGTTAATGGGATTAGTATTATATTAACCCTTTGAACTCTGTAAGCTCCAATATCGCACCAGGAATAATATTAGATATTTTAATGAATCTTAAAGAAACTACCCTACAATCATTAGATTTTTCACACATCCACATTTTGCACTAAGAAGGAAAATAAAAGATCTAAGAAATGTTATAGCATTTTTCATTTTCGCTATGGATACTATAAAAACTAGTTGCAGTTACTGATAGACTACAAAACCATCTGGAGTGCTAAGGGTTAAGATCATTTTTGCACTCGAGAGGTGACTCTCATTCACCACGTGATTCGATATAATAAACTTAAAAGGTCTCATATAGAATATTAAGCTTCACATAATGCAACGATACGTGAATTGAAATAAAACAGCTTGGTCTTAGTTTACGTGTGTATTCTCATTAATTAAATTCAAAGAATGTCGTCCATATTTCATAGGAAAATTTTGAATATTTCTAATGAAAAGCTTCCGTGTGCAAAGGGTTAAATCGTTTCGTCTATTCTTTGCTAGACTAACAGTTCTTATTCCTCCTCCAAAGAATACATGAAATCTAATTGAAAAGAGATTGTAAGCTATTTACCTCAATACTCAGCTCACCTGTACGAATCGAAAGTTTCATCGACATCGTGCTCAACCTTCATAATCTTCACGCCGGGATTCACAACTTTCGCGAACATAGCGTCACCTCTGGCGTCCATTTCCGTCGGAAAACGCGGCGTGTCGACTTCGTCGACTGGTCGCTGATAGATATCTTGAACCTTATACACAATCTTCGGCATATCGTGCCTGTGATCCATCTTGTACGAGTCTCTTTGCCCATTCTTCTGCGTCTCAGAGCTTCGTAACCTAGCCGAATCTCTGAGAGCTCTGCCGTTCTCGAAGTTCTGCGTGTGTTCCCTTCTTTCAGACTCCTCGTACGATAACCGGCCATTCTCTTCGTCTCTATGCCCTGAACTCTTGAAGGACTGACTCATTGGACGATCTCGCTCCCAATTTCGAGGATCCTCGGATATTTCTTCCGGCGAACTTTTCTGATGTCGCTCTTCCGCTTTCTCGAAACCGTCGTTGACCGTGCCATCTTCGCTCTTCGTGGCTTTGCCGGTGGATTTCGATGATTTCGATGGTTTCGATTCTTTCTCCGTGGACAGTGTCGCTGTTACCAGGTTCTTGGCTGTGGAGTTATCAAACGAAAAGAAATATGATAGAAAACTGGATGAATCCTTTGAAAATGTTCCTTTTGCTATCTTTTCTATAACTTATAAAGAATTTCGTTTATCATGATAATACTGTAAACGATGCAAGAAGTTATTCATAGAATATTTGGCTACGTAAGACTCATTTGAGTTACCTTTACTAGACAACGCCTCCGTCATGCCGTGGCTGATCTTCTTTTTAGGCGAGCTCATTAATAAGTCAGCAATGAACACCAAAGCTGTCAATATACACAGCGCGCCGAACACCGCTGCGTTGTCCACCAAGTCTTCAGGGACGTTCTCAATGGAAGCCATTGATAAAGAACCGACGATGCCGAAAAGAATGATGCCAAGTCCAAGGAAGAACAGTTCCTTGAAAGAAAACAGAAGATTCCGATCTATTCTAGTACTAAATCGAATATACAGTTCCTTCCAGTTACCCAATTATACTCATTTCCTACGCAATCATCGAAAACGAAGAGAAGATAAATTACATTGCTATTCAAACCTTCATATCACTACGAATATCCTTACAACAAGAAACCTAAAAAGAAACTAACATGAAAACATTTCTCCACTCCTTGACACATAAATTGATCGTTGACACAATATTCCATTAGCATTAACAAACCCATACACGCAACAGTTAATCACTGTCGACCAACAATTCAACAACCAAAGACTTCGTTCCGAGTACCAGCAAGATCCAGTCTCCGTCAAATGGAAATTTCAATGATCCTAGATAACTCCATGGATCAGCATTCAGAAATCATCGCGACCCGCCTAGTCTTCCAGTGAGTCATTAAATAAATCGCATCGACGGACGCGTTACGTGTCCCGGAGCACCAAGGATGTTGCGTGCTTCGTCCCGCGACTACCGTCGCGTTAAGGATACCGGAAACCTTGGCCGTCAATGACGAATCCGCATGAATGCGTCGCGGCTCCGATATTCCCACGGTACAGAGCTCGTACACGCGTGCTCCAATTCGAAGCGATTTCACGCTGGTCAATCGCGCGAATTAACAAAGGGGAAAATGAGCACGGCGTTGGGAACGATAATTCTGCGCGTCAGTCGCGTCAGTCGCGTCGCCGGCCGGCGCAGATTGATTAATGCGACGATCCGCGGAGCACGGATCTTTTAATGAGCGAGGCGTGCCTCGGGGAAAACGATTCACACCAGGAAGGATATTGGAAACATAATAATAATTCAGATTACCATCGTGAGAGCGCGGCACCTTTTGCCTTGGAAACGCTTCTGACTTGAATCGCTGAAGAATGCCATTCATTTTGCGTAGCAAACACAGTATCAAGAATGCGTACCTTTGCAGGCAGATATTAATTGTCTTTATATCGCAAGTGTTTGCGTGCAAGATTGAATTGCGTCATTGAAGGATTTTAAAGCGAAACCAGGGATACGATGGAAATTGTAAGAGAAAATTGGGATTTTTGTTCTGTGATTTGTTGTTGCTAGAATTTTGTAAGATTTTAGTGGTTGTACGGTCATTGTAACAGTTGACCTATTATTTTCGATCATTAGATTTAACGTTTGTTATTAAGACGAATTTGTGTTACCGTGGCGAGATTCTTGATAACACGCCGCGCTACCACGAAGAAAGCGTGACTGATAATCGGAGTTCTGTTGGTATCATGATTTTATTAATGGTATGGTGGATTACTTGGTCATACGCCATATAAAATGTGAGGAGGAATTAGTGGAATATGAAGGAAGATGTATCTTGCTTACGATAACAGGTGCTTCCCGATTATTAACAACGTTTCGAGATTTCACTCGTAATTAGATATCCTTGTATCCTGAAGAATGTATTAATGGTATTCGAGCTATTGAGAAGTTTATTAAATTAGCATTGAAACGAAAGCTAAATTAATTATTCTTTGAATATTCCTCCTAGTAACAATGAAAATTATCTTCATTAGAGTCGCAATCGTCTCAATAATCAATTTCTCTATAAATATTTTAAGTTACGCCGTTCGATAAGAACAGAACATTGGTGTCTGATAAGAATCACTGTCGTTGAAGGACGTTACGTCCCGTAAAGAGGAAAGAATACTTCCAGGAGCTGAAACAATGGACCTATTAGGGACAGCAAGGTCTCTTGTAATTGTTAACATGGAAGGAACTTGAGAGTTACGAATTCGTAGAGTACGCATCGAATTCTTGTTCGTGTCGCAACCAGCCGGCGAGAGAAGAAAAGAACGAAAATGGCAAAGAATTACCGTCTTTCGACCCGTGAGTTCTCCTGTAGCAGCGGCAATGAGGAGACCCGTCGTTATTATTATGTAACCGCCGCAGGTCGCAGTCGCTAGAGCGGCGCCTAGAGAAAGAAAAGTCGCAGACTGCGTATTACAGAAGTGAAGAAATTTCATACAGTTATTTTCACTTAAACTACTAACGTCTTTTACAATTATTTGCTGCATTCAAGATTATCGTTGTTTCTCAGCGGACCATTTCTAGTCAATGGACTATAGACCTTTGTATAACTTCATTCGTGCAATTTGTGCAATTAAACTAGTCTCGATAATTGGGCGCGGAGGTAATATTAAATTAAGTGCGTTATTTCGTTAATGATCCGTGTGTAATACAAGAAAAAGGATCTTCGTGATAACCTATATATGATTGAATTATTTTAATCTATTATTGAAACAGAATGAAGTTTGATTAGGTCTTTTAATTAATAAATTGGTATATTGTCATTGAAGTATTCTCTCAGAGTACAGTCATTAATCAGTACAATTTTCTTCGTTTCATCAGCACAGAGAATAAAATAATAAAAAAATAGTCTAACCTATGGCACCCCATGTGACGTTATTCAAAAGTGACCATTCTCTGCTCCGGCTCCTCAAATAATGGAACACCCTTCTGCTCTCATCGTCGGTGACCCTAAGCGCCACCACGCAAGCGAGGCAGAGTATCTACAAATTAAACATTATTCCTTCAATTATACGCGTGAATCTCTCTTAAACGAAGGAAATGGAAACTAGGAAAAAGAACGTGATTTCTCTAGTTTTTCTTCCAACTTTTTCTCTCTTAATTGCGAATCTTTAACCGTAGAAGTAATTACGAATAATTGATTGTGGGAACATCCGAAGGGATAATTGCCCGTGGGTCCTGAGAACGAGGAGCTAAATCAATTAAGTTGGTTACATCGGAATGCAGATGTCACATGTGATAGAAACCATGAGACTCTTATTGTAAATTGCATAAAAGAATCAGATGTCGATACTCGAATGAATCATTACGCTAACGAATTGCCAACTGTACATTTGTCATAAACGTGTGATAACCTTTTCAAACTGAAACATTCATAAAGTATAGACTATGTTAAAACATTTTTTTTTATATTACTTACTGATGCTTTTGCATAACTACAGATAAATTAAAGCTATATAAATTTATTAGATATTTTAATAGAAATTTAAATTTTACTCAATAAAATAAATCCCCCTTAAATTTTATTGAATTATATAGTTTAAACCTACAAAATACAAATTCTTTAAAAACAGTACTAATAATTTCATAGCAATCATTTTTAATTTTTTATAACTCGATCGTAGAGAAAATCAGAGGAGAAGAAAAAAGAAATGGAAGGTTTGTTTAATTGATTGGTAACGTGTTAAAGTAAATCGATTGTCAATTGATTATCACGCACCACTTCGATGATTCTGATGAACACCTTCCGGTTCCACATATTACGGGCGGATCACGTTGCTCGCGAAAATTCAAATGAAACAACGATTCTGACCTCTTTGCGTAATTCTCGCTCTTATTCGTTGCATTACGAGGAGTCACAGGCCATTAACGAATTATCCTGTTACGAGGTGGTCGAGCAGGAGTCACTGAGCTGTGATTTTGAAACCAGTCGTTATTATCATTGTTCACTTCAATATAGCATCGTGAGTATCTCTAGGATTCTACCTTTACACATCATTCTAATTATATTACAAATTAATATCTACGATTTTCTATGAATCCAACGATCATTTCCTATCTGCTACAATTGAAGAAACTAAGTAATCAACATTTATTATTGTTCACTTTAGAATAATATTAGACACACCAATGAATTCATTGTTTTTAACCACGATTTACACAGTGACCAAAATACAAAATGCAAGCAGAAAAATGAAAATCAATTTCAATCGTTTCTATCACGCGCAAATAAACATAGATACACAAACACACAGAAAGATGACTGAAAATCATTCAAAGCAAGCGAACAAAATTCATTAACCAAAACTCTATGTTTAAACTTGTTGAAAACAGTACAAGCACACTGTTCAGCCAATCGAATATTCCCAATTTAATCGGTGCATCGAATACAATCGAGATACACAAGCAGAAATTTCATGAATCGTATCACTGTCTCACAAGCGAATGATTTAACGCGTATCATCGAGGAAGAACGATGAATTACCGAGACACGAGGATTCTCAATTATCGGCTCATAGCACGCGATACTTTCGTAGATCGGTCAGAAGCGAATTTCAAGTGGACCCGGCAAAGTGATTCCGGCATAGAGCGCGAGCGGAGCTAAATTAGCAGTCGATAAAGAAACGAGTTTAGTACCAGCCCGTCTTGTCTTTCTCATTAGCTCGGGACCCTATCGAAAGGATTGCGAAAAAGAAGACTCGGATCGCGGCGCGCTCGGACGACAACTGAGGAGATAGGAAGGCTCGTGGTTTTAGTAGCGCGGGCTGCCCCGTGTCACGTTGTAACGTCGGCGTTGCTGCAAGTAACAACAATGCTATTATCGCTGGGTGCATTGGCGCAGGACGGCGCGAATTTTCGCGACGAGCGACGCGAGGCTGCCCGACGAACCTTGAAACAGTTCCACGGTGTACCTCCGGAGAATCGAATACGCAAAAAATCGGATCAAGAGGTTAGATACACACTTGCAATTCAAAACATTGAACATATATTTAGAAGTTTCTTTTTAATATGTGAAATTGCAGTTTATTGAGTAATTATTATGGTTAACCCTTTGTACTCGAAGAATGTGTCACTAGAAATATTCAATTTATTTTTATGAGATATAGATGACATTTTCTTAAACTAACTTAACGAGGGATCTATTCAGAAAATAAAGGGAACAATGGTATTTTATTTCCACATTTCACGTATCGACAGATTACTCAAGACTTAATGTTAAATATGAAATTTTACAATTTTGATGCAATCGAGTGGTGATTGAGAGGCACCTTTCGAGTGCAAAGGGTTAATGTTATTGTTTGGAATGGTGTAGGTTCGAAAGTAATTTTTTAGATTTGTAGTGAAGCGTTTGTTTAAAATAGATATGGCTAATTTATAGGAGAATCAGATGTTGTTTTAAATTGGGCGAATCAAGCTGAGATTTTTTATGGTATTGAGATTGATTTGTTGAAGTTTCAGGAAGCTTCATTGCAATGCGTAAAGTTTGTGATTCGGAAGAAGAGAGTTTTGAGCGGAACTGCCGAGATCGCCGGATTCAATGATTTTTGCTCTGTTTAGCATGATTTTCAGAGAAATTCCCTTTCCGTTTGACTGGATGCATGAATATAGATGGACTTTCGCGGGTGAACGTATTTTTAATTTGCAATTCCGCGTGACTTTCTTCTTAAACATCTTTCCTGTTTGATGCCGCTGTGAGAGGGATTTTATAAATTGATCGCTGATTCTTGATAGAAAGGATTGGCTTTCTAAATTGATTTGTTTCCATTTCTGCCGGAAGAAGTAACTCTTAACGAGTAGAGAACAGGAAGAGGCACAGTGATCTATAAAACTTGTACGCTGCGTACTGAAACTCTATGATCTGGTGATTTTTGCAATTGAGTCACTTCTATGAATCATCTTGCAGGTTTGAAATTAAGATAATTGTCTATTTGACAGGAAATACGGTGAATAAGTCTTGCGATCAGCAGATTTAGAATAATTGCCTTCAAGTATATAATTATAACAGAATATTCTACGAAAGACTTTATCGATACTCTTTAACGATTTAATATTATTGTCTGTACTTTTAAAAATGATTTTGATACTACGTTACATTTAATACTATAAGAAACAGGAATAAAACAGAATCCTACACTGTCTGATTCATGAGTGATGAAGCATTAGATCTGACGACTCTAAACTATCATTACACGCGAACGTAGTTGTTGCAACGTATAATTTCAATTTAATAGGAATTTCACAAAACACACTTCACCAGCAATCAACAAAAAAGAATGAATAATGGTAAACAGTAAAATGGCCTTTCAAATCAAATGAATTAATTTATTATTACTGAAACCAATGGTATGAGATTGCATTGAATTAATAAATTATTAATCTCTGGAGTCACGTGGCGAAAGAAGTTCACGTGACCGGGAAACATTGTATGACGAATTCCAGCGGAAAGGTTTTATCTTGGATTCAAGTTCGAGCGGGCAATAGGTTGCCCAGGCAACAATGTAACGTCGTCGACGAACGAAGCTTGTATCTGGAAAGATTCGATGCTTCGGTGAAATTTAACGTTGACAAGATTTATTTCACGTTGCTTCGTTCAGAATAAACTTCTGTAGTTCATAAACAGTTGGTATGAACAGGTAACTCGTGAATAAAATGAGCATGGTAATAACCTTCTATAATGAATCTGTGAATAATCTAATTTATGTTAATGCATAATTAACGCGTACTTATTGCGATGCTATGAAATATAATAATCAGTTAAACAGTACAATGCAGCAGTAATGCAATGAACAATGGTTCATTCAGGTAGTTAAATATCTGATAGAGGATGAGTAATCATCAAGTAATAATTGGAAAGTACGAAGATATTGAAAAATAATAATAAGTTTTCTCCGTTGAAAGTTAAATTGTCAATCGACAACAATAAAATATAAGTGATTTGCCAAATGAAACTCGTACTGACACGTTTCCAGTATCGAGACAGAGAGGGGGTAAAAACAGAAGAATCTTCGGAAACGCGTGAGTTGGAAAGAAATTGACGGCTCGGAAGAAGAGAGAAACGTTCCCTCCAAGGACCACAGGAAAATAAATTTCTCCAATGGCGACAGTCCGAAATAAGCGCCATCTGACCCCGTACACTTGACCCATAGAACCACCGTGGTCTGTCACATTAGTCCCATTCAAACCGTGGCGGTGTAATTATCTGTCGATCATCGATCTCCCGGCTTGAATCTTCATCAGCTCTCTGCCCTGTGGATTCGTTCAACGAAATCTCCTTCATTTCGAAATAAACCAATTATTATCGCGTGTTAATTACAAGATAATGTAACCGAGGAATACGGAATCATATCCACCGCAAATGTCAAAGAACGTTAAGATGGAACACAAGGAGAGTGAAAGCAAGAACAGCAAGAAACAATTGGGTGAGTGTCATTGTTAAATTATCTGAGTTTGTTATTTTTCCTCGAGTCATGGCCGATTCTATGTCTACTCTGGGAAGCTGAAATGATCGATGCCGTTTTCATTATTCCCTTGCAATCGCAATTAGTCGCTATAACTTTCATTAACTCTTATTTTCTCGGTATATTAATAATTCACAATTAACACATACATCAATTCACACTCTTCGTACCGTCTCAAAATGTTTACCCACACCTTATACTTCATTTCAACGATCAACGTTGATTAATCCTAAATTCGCAAACATTCTAGAAACTAAACCGTTCGTCAAGGTAAGGGACTAATTAATCTAAATCTCCGATACGAGAGACAACAAACTTTCATCGAATCATTGTCACACATTTCTAAGCGACACTCTTGTTTAATTGAAGTATGCGCATCCAATCGGAATCCTACGCAAGCGCGATCGGTTGGGAGGCTGCTGAACACGAAGGACCACAGAGACAGTTGCTTGAAGCTGTTGAAGTTCATCGCCGATTCCGATCTAACGTTGACGCAAGTGAACGGTCAGAGGAAGCTGGGACCACCACCGGGATGGACGGGACCTCCGCCCAGCCCCAAATGCGAGATCTTCGTCGGCAGCATCCCCCGAAACTATTACGAGCCCGAGATCGTGCAAATATTCAGCACCGCAGGCCGAATTTACGAGTTACGCTTGATGATGGACTTTTCCGGCACGAATCGAGGCTATTGTTTCATCATGTACGCCACCGAGGAAGAAGCAGCGCGGGCTGTGAGGGAACTGGACCAATTCGAGATTTATCCTGGGAAAAAGATCGGCGTGGTGGCTAGCGTGAATAATCGGCGACTTTACATGAATCACCTGCCGCCAGATATAAGTACTGAAACCATTATCAAGGTTTTTATCTTTTGAAACTTTATTTCATCCTTATTCTACTCGTATCTTGCGTGTGGTAGTACGATTCACTTCAATTTCGATTCCCGTTAATTCTGCTTGTCGGAGAATTATCAATTTTTGGAATTTCGATGTTAATCGATTCGAAGTTCTTTGTATTAATCCTTTGTAGTCCAAAGTGCTCGGTTTCTCATTTTGAGGTTCACGTCGACGTTCATTCAATTATAGCTTAATATGACGCTCTATTTATTTGTTTAAGAATATTTTGGAGTCATTGGAATGTTACCTTTAAATGGTACAATTGTGATGCTATAAATAAATATAGAAAAAATTGTTAGAACAAGTAATAGAATAGAATGTCGAGTTTGACTCGACACAGGACTGCCAAGGGTTAATAGTTCACAAAAGATAAGGTCTCTTTTCCATTTTTAGCGTATATACGAAATAACCGACAATATCGAGAAGGTTGCAGTTTATAGGAGTTTGGACGGTATGCTGAATTATGTGTTGGTTTCGTACATGACGCATCGAGGCGCTGCGATGGGGAGGAGAAGGCTGGTGCCCGAATCGGCGACACTTTTCCCGAACTGCGAAGTGAACGTTGAGTGGGCGAATCCGAATATCAGTCCTTGGAACGTGGTGGGTATTTCAATTACGATTATTTCTAGTAAAAATTTTATAGTATATTTATTACAGTTTCCATTTGAAACTTATGCGTTTACTGGAGCACATGAAATTCGCAGTTTATTGACAGTCGTTTTTTAACCCTTAGCACTCCAGGTTGTTAATCTATCAGCAACTGCAACTAATTTTTATAGTATTCTTAGGGAAAATGAGAAATGCTATAACATTTCTTCGATCTTTTATTTTCCTTCTCAGTGCAAAATTTGGATGTGTGGAAAATTGAATAATTTTAGGGTAGTTTCTTTAACACTAAAACTACCGAGCATTTAATACGATTAACCCTTTGCACTCGAAATTTTTTCACTAGAAATATTCAACACTCTTTGATAAAATATAGACGATGCTTTTGCGACTAATGTAAATAATTTAATCGAGAAATTAAAGGACAAAACTATTTTACTTTGATATTTTACATAGTGACGCGTTATATAAAGTTTAGTGTTAAACATAAATCTTTATAATTTTACTGTATCAAACCAAGTGGTGATTGAGAGTCACCTCTCGAGTGCAAAGGGTTAATATGCAATTCCTATAAAATTTGTAACAATAGATTATTTTCAGTTTCTTCAGGCATTCATTATAGTACTGAAATGAAGCTGTTTATTTTCAAAATCATTTCGAATATTCAATGCTTCGAAGATATCAATAATTGCTAAACAAAAGAATCGAAACTAGTCGTTTTGACTGGTACGGTAGTTTTAGTGTTAAGATTCATTAAAATCTTCAATACTCTAACTGGTGCAATATTAGAGCATACAGAGTTCAAAGGGTTAACGCGTATAGACGTGAAACACCGGCGAAGGGATGTTTGTGTTTGCAAGCAGGCGCAAGCCGCGCGATTTACGATTTTCCTTTCGCATGTATAGAACAATGACACCGATCGGTTATGGTCCCACGTGAAAATGGGACGTGGGTACTTTCCCTAGTTGGCTTGTCTGCGAATGGCATCGTAATTTGCAAGAATCGAGACCCATGCAAGCGAACACGTGAACGCAGATCGTTTTATCCAATTTGTAGATCATAGTCTCGTTCGTTACGTCTTATTAGGAAGATAATCTTGCTTCGAGATACTTAGAAAAGATGCTGGCTCGGAAAGTAATCACTGAGAAATGAAATATAATGAATTACATAACTGTCGAACGTATTTTCTCATGATAATTATTCTTCTATTGTTATATCCTATATGTTATTAGAAACTGTAGATGTTTAAGTTAGCGTTACAGTTAAATAGATCAGAAATTTAAACTTCGAGGATACTTTAGAATATTTATACTAAAAATATTTATAATTCGAAACTTCGTTCTTCAATTTGTTCGTTTAATTTATCAAGATTAAACGGAAAATCTGTGAACTGAAATTAGATCATAGATGACCTTTTCGATTTGTAATCGGAAAGAAAAATATTTCTCTAGTGATCTGCATGCAACATTTGAAGAAATCGATACGATTTGATTAAGAAATTTGTAATATGATGCGAAGAATACGCTGAGAGTTATCAAATTCTGTTTATCGAGGCGCTGACGTGGTTGAACGAGATAGTTCGAAGTATATCCGACGAGCGGCGCCCGGTTTGTCGGCATTCATTAAAGAAACTGCGCAACGGCAGACGCGTTGAGTCGATCAGCTGATCGCGTGCTTCGTTTTCCCTTCGTATTATACGAAATCAATTTGAAAATTCTTCTGGGTCACCGATTCGATCGGGAACAGTGAAAAATGAGTGCCGCGAAGGTAGAAAACAGTGAGTACAGTGATTACCGTAGCCCTTTGGCGACTAGATACGCGTCGAAAGAAATGCGATACAACTTCAGTGACCAACACAAATTCAGCACGTGGCGGAAACTGTGGATCTATTTGGCTAAAGCAGAGATGGTTCGTTATGAATTACTTATTAATCGTACATATACAATTACATATATCGAATTTATTAATTATATATTTTATCATATAATATATAATATAATAAATCGATGATAAAATAAATTGTAAGTTTTTTTTATAGATTTTCTTAATCATATAATTAGGTATACTATTTTATAAATGATATATTGATATTATATATAAAATATTACACCTAATATTTTAATCAATATTATATCATCTATAAAATATTATACCTAATTATATGATTAAGAAAATCTATAAAAAAGATTTATAATTTATTTTATCGTCGATTATTTTATTATATACAATATAAAATAACATATATTATATATAATAACATATAATTAGGTTGAAAAAGTAGAAGGTATATTTTAATTCAATTTCAATATAGAAAGTAATCGCACAAAGAAATCTAGTTCAAAGGGAAAGATGTTAATATATAATTAGCGCACGTGAGGCATCAACAATGTCATTTAGGCTAGCAAACACGAAACATCCTTTCGTCGACCATAAAGAAATCCGATCGTTAAACAACTCGTAAACTAAAATGCGTCGAAGTTCTGTTCAATCGATTGTCCGATCGATCAAGTAACCATTCACGAATTATAGTGCGAAGAGATCGGGACCTGCGACAAGGACGGCAAAGTTGACGTAGAGACGAAGTTCCTCTTGCCAGTGAAGTCGAAAAACTCGGTGCTCCGATCGAAACAGCCGAAAATCCTGGATAAACGATGGATCAATCCAAACAGACCGCAGTCGTGCAAATCGCTCGATCTATCGAATCGCAAAACGCGAGCGATAAAAGCAGCTCCGGAAAACTTTAAAAAAACAGCGAATTGCTCGTCGAATTGTTCGTTCGAGCCAGGCCCACCGAAAAGTCTCGTGTGGCCTAATTACTCGTTGACAGAAATTAGGAACGGGTACAAAGGGAATCTCAGAAATACTGTGGAGCAATCTTCGCTCTACGAAAATTTGAAGAATCACGTTCCGCATCCATCAAGCATGATTCTTCCGTCGATCAGTGCTCTTCTGAGGAAAGGGAGAAACGCGAAGAGTCTGAAATTAAACGAACCTCCAAAATATTCGGAAAATATATTCAATCGTCAAATCACCGCGAATATACCAAACACGGCTTACACCGGGTTTAACGATTACGCACTCAATTATTGTTGTCAGTGTGATTTCTACGGGCACAAACATTCTATTTTAGGAAGCTTGAATAATTATCAATCTACAAATCCTTCGGTGGATAGTCTGTCACCGAAGGTTTCGGCAGCTTTAATTATTCCCGAAGAAAAGGACTATAAAAGACAGATCGTTTTCGCGAGTAACGATAACAGCATGCGAGGAAATGTAAATATTTCTAATGACCAAGCGTTGCTCGACGCTAATTCTCAGTTTGTAAATCATTATCAATACAACGGTTATTATCAGAATTACGCTGTTAATGGCACCGAGCAGAATGCAGCGTCCTCGATTTCTTTAAACGATCGAATTCCGGGACAGAATTTATACAATCGAGGATTCGTGAATCAGGAGCCGAGTCGCGAGCATTTATCGCAACAGTTTTCGTCGAGTAATCTACAGTCGGTCGGATGGTACCCTAGAATGGCGGACAATCAGTCGATTTCATGCGGGAGTCGAAACTTTCCGGAATTGCCTAACGGGTTTTACGATTATCAAGTTTATAGTCCGCAAAACGCGAGAGACGCCGCGTACTTTGATAGGAAAATCAATGATGGATCTGTTTCGGGTACTGTAGCCAATGCCAGCGATACATTCGCGTGGAATAATCCCGTGAAACCTTCGGTTTATGCTAACGACGGGGTTTTTACGAGAAACAGGGAATTGTTCGATACAGACGAAGAAAACTGTTACGCGAACAGATTATGAAGTGTTGGAACGCGAATATCGAACTTAATTACTGATCATTTTACGTTTTTTAACGTGCATACTATAAGTTATTAAAAATGGTATGAGAAGAAGGTAGTCGATAGTGTATAATAATTTTTACCTGAGACGTTTGTTTGTTTATTTTTTTTACCAAAGAAACTGAAGTGCACGATAAAAGTATAGGGTAGAACGCATATTTTTTGAGCACTGTGTATTACACGAGTGAAGAGTGATTATCTGTGTAGCTTCGTTGGGTGCCATTATGCAAGAGAGTTGATAGAGATAGAGAGAGAAAAAAAATAGATTTCTGGCTGCGGGTGATAAGTTGAATCGATGCAAATACTTCACGGAAATATCTCGACCCCAGTGGCGAAGTTTCATCTGTGTAAACAAGTCGATCGGTGATGATTTCTGATCGAGAAATAAATCAATACGGATTTCTTACGATCAGTGTGATGTAATAAGTGAATTTGAGAACATTTATATTAATATATTAATTACAGACGAACGATTTACATTTACGATTGCGCAGTTCAAAGTACGAGGATGGTTTTGTTTTATACCAAAGATTAGAAGCGTTTATTAATGATAATTAAGAATTAAGCAATCGCTATTTCTAACTATTATTGTAATCATAGAAGCTATTTGTACACCAAAGAATCGATCTTTGTATAATTTTGTTTTCTAACGGCACGTCGCGTCGCTTACTTTCAATTTGTAACAATCGATATCTT